ATAAGTAGGATAAATATACTAAAGAAACAATATTTGTTATGGTTTGCGCCAGAGTACTAATTTTAAAGGAACTCAAATTTTTTGGACTTGGTCCCAAAAGCATTTATTTGTAGAATTTTCCCGGAGACATATTGGCCGCCAGTAGAACCATTGTTGGTGTGTAATGAATATACCAAATATACCAATTATTAGTAGCTATGTGGACTCGACGAAAACGGATATTTCCACTCGAAACAGAGAGAAAGTTAGATGCAAATTACTGCAGCGAATCTATAATTTTACTGTTTGTGTATTTTGTTCATCCCCTACCACAAAAGTGTTTCTTTACGGCGTTGTATATTTTACCTTTAATTGCCACATGGCGGTACAAAACATTCCGACAAAAAGTCTAATTTTCTACAATAATTTAATAATCTAATTCGCCTAAACCAGGAAAACCATTTAATTGACTTGTTAGATATGGTTAAGCAATTATAACAATAATATTAGTCTCTATAAATATTCCTAATATACTTTTAATGCAATTATACTTGATGTACATTGAATACTTATTCAGCAAAAAAACAAGCTTATATAAATTGTACATCCATAGCCTCACATGGTTTTGAAATCAGACGACCTTTTGATTTCAAATATACCTTCATGAAACACTTTATTTGTCTTCGGACGCTATTTTCTGAATCCTATTATACGAAGATTATATGTCGAGAAGCCTTTCTACCAAGAGGTTCTTGGTCAAGCCATTACCATTGATACTTCAGTAACATTTACAAAGTTAATGTGTTAGTCACTAACCCCGTGGGATGTTACTTATAACATAGCATTTTCCGAATGCAACGAATATAAAGAACTATAAATGCTAAGTTGGTAATTTAGTAATGGCGGGTGCCACGTATGGTGGATGTAAAATTCCAAATTAAGAGCTCTCCCAATTCGGTCAGAAAAGAATCGAGACTTTAATTTGACAATAATTAACTAATTATTAATTAGTATATTATCATCATCAACATTGAACAGTTTCATCCAAATCGAAATTTAATTTGATATGATTGAGCAGGGGGAAATCTATACATTCTGAAAACTACTACGACAAACAACATCTGATGTAAGCCGGAATTAAGAAGGGACAACAAGCCGGGAATTCTTGAAGTCTGATCTCTGAGGCAGTCTAAGGGAATGGGATTTTGACTCTGCATAAGATGTTGATTATTTGCTTTGAACTGATAATTTTACACACAGCATAATATTCAACATGTTTCCACTTTAACACCCCAAAGTGGTCATAGGGAATGAATAGGCTGAAGCATTTTTATTTAGCAAAGCCGACTGAAATCTCACGGTCTAACTCAAAACATGTAAATGACCATTAACTGACTGACTGGAAGCTACATAATTTCCAAAGCCGTGTTTGGGATGGGGGTTGGTGCCTGGTTATGGGAACTGATTGAACCAGGCTAGAACTTCCGATATTATTACGAAACAATATTGCTCTCAAATCAATTGGCAAGCTGCGATATTTTGTCACTGATCACAAATAAATAATTATTCTAATTTAATAAAATCATATCAAGTGATTGTTAATGTCAGTATGAATAGGAGTTGTGATTTTAAAATATCCTTTCGTTATCCATCACAAATTTGTGGACAAATTTGGCGCAACTTAAGTCTCAATTTTGAGGTCTTTCAATTCGGACAATACGGGCAGGTCGGAATTTCACACCCACCGTGTCACGTACGTATTTGTATTCCCAATCAGACGGTGAATCAGACTGCATATTGCTGGTTTCTCAACGTTTTTTCTACTTCAAATGCTGTTGAATCGCAGTTTTAACCGCAATAATCAGAGTGGACTATGCAAGGAACATTTTCAATTCTTACTACCAGAAATGAATGTACATCATTGTGTTGGACACGTTTGTTTCTAGCAGTAATATGAACGTAAGAGTGATCTCCCATAAATCAGGTACAGTAAAGGAGGGCATTTAACACCATTTCATTTTGGTGTTTGATATACTTTAAGAAATGGATTCTTAACATGCGTTACTATTCTTTTTTTGCAAAAGACCCGATTTTGATGGTCATCAATAATGTATGGCCTAAATTTTGAACAATTGGTTAAAAAATTATTAATACATCATAACAAAGCCCTTTTTATTTGGCTGTGACAAAATGCTTTGATAATAAATATATATATAGCTATCAACTTATAAAGTTTACTAATAAAATATTGCTCTAGTTTTTGATAATCCGAAAGGGATCGTGAGCAGACACACTCAGTTATAGAGCGGCATCAGGTTGATCATGCCCATCCTCGCTTGCTGCATCAATTCCGGTAGGTATTTTGAAACATCTGTCTAAGAAACAGATGATAGGTTTCAAAAGTGATACTCAATACAGAATAATGAGACTCTTTCTACTTATGATACAGTTTATGTAATCCTTGAATGACATTTAGTAAAAGTGGTTTGATATTGATAACACGTTTCTTATGGAATACAATTGATGTTTCAACTGGGATTCTCAAGTCTTTACCAAGCAATGAATAATATTGACAATGAGTGATGAAGCTTTTAAATTAAAAAAAAATGTACTAAATATTTAATAAGGTAATCATAGGCCCTGGGGATAAAGACGCTAGGATATGCGTTTAGGGTTCTCTTATTTCGATAGTTTCCGGTATTGGTGTTTCTTTTTTATTGTTTTAAGTTACTGCTTATATGGTTGTTTCATCTTAATTAATTCAATGATCAGTTTCATTGATATGTTTAGAATCTCTGACTGGTTTTTGACTGCTTGAGATTGATGGACATTAAATTTGATGGACATTAATATTAAGTGGTCCTTGATTCACCGATTCAGCATTCTCCACAGGAAGAAACTAATTTTATAAGTTTGGAGAGGGTTGGTTAGATTAGGTAGTGATCAGTTAGGGTTTTGTAACCTAGGGTTTGATTGATTATTACTTTTCTTAACATTTACATCCACGATAGGTATTGAATCATTAGCACTGGTTTTCATTTTTATGCTTGGTGTTTGGTTATTGAGGTGGTCTTGTAAACTTTGAGGATTATCTTCCCGTTGACAAAAGGTGTCAACAACATTTCTGTAGCAACATAATGCTAGGGCTTGTTGGAAATAAACTCTACCGCTAATAATGGTGAAAGTGGGTTACCCATTTGTAATCCTCTAATTTGTTCGTATAAATCATCATTAAATATGTGGATTTCAGACAGTTTGCAACTAAAATTCTGAGTTTTGTAAAGGAGTAGATAGGTGCTCTTTCCTGGGTAGTTTTGTTCATTAAATCCACATCATATGGTACCATTTTCCCTAATGAACGCCCTGTGTTGAGTTTGAAATAAAAATCACTGGAGCAACCGATAAATGTATTGCCTATAATTTTGATAGATATGTAGCAGTATTGTAAAAGCACACCCAATTTCGGTTAAGTTGTTGGTTTAATAGGATTTAGGTAATTTAGTGGCGAAGCTAATCCAATTTACCACCAATTTGTCATCAATAATTTCAAAACACTGTTTCATTGTCTGCCACTATTACATCAAAAATCTGTTACAACATGATGTTTACCATATTGCCTACAGACAACACGTCAATTAATAAGGAGAAGATAACAAGTATGTTATAATGTCTAAATTTAAAATGGACATACGATGGTATCATAATCTTTTCGGTATAAAACCTGTTCTATTTTCATTAATATGTCGGCATGTCATTTCCTGTCAATGTAGAAATAACCAAGCTTTCATTCGATGTTCACGATAGAACAATAACACTTGGAATTGAATCATAAGTTCCATAATCTCTAATGCCTGCTAACTTGCGATATTGTGACTTTTTTTTTATTGTACTGAACTATTAAATTTAAATGTTATATTAATCCTCAAATAGTTATTCCAGATATTTGAGCACCCTTTCAGGTCAATCTCCTTCATCTGCAATGTTTCCTTGTCAAGACAAGAAATTAATTGTCTGTTAATTGGGAGAACATACCACAATTAACCCCTTTATCTCTTCAGAGCAAAATTGCTATGTCAATGGACACTCCTACATAATACAGTTATAACAGTATCGACTCGCGTTTAGAAGGCACCAAACCATATCCAGACATAGCCGGAATGCTTGGAGCATATTTAAATAACGAACTAGTACATCTACTCTGATTTTGTTTAAAAAGAAATTCACCGATATTTGTACTCAGATTTACCTATAACCTTTTACATCAACTTTGGCCATTAACACTACAAATTATTCCCTTATGATCATAGCTTATATATATATATATAATATACAATTATCACATTGATAATGCTCACATTTTTTTGTGCCAAAAAAAAAAGGTTCATAAAAAGTTCTCTGGGATAACACAAACTATTTCTGGACCAATATGGTTTCTTTAAACAATTTATTGCGAGTAAATTTGTGAATATCCAGATGCGAGATTTTCACTATCAAATTACTTTTAGTTCCAGGCTATGTTAAAATCCGATCGAATGTACAACGTTCAATGCTCGGTGTACACTTCAGAGATGAATTATTTCACAGACTACTATCATTCAAATTATGAAGAATGAAAACCAGAAGAAAATGCATAATCCCACATTTCCTTCCAAACAGTTGTATCGGCAGCTATGTACATTTGGTCTCGGGATATTACATCTATGGTATCCAATAATAACAACATGTATACAAACTTTATTTTATCCTTATCCTCACAAGGCACCCAACGCCATTGATACATTGAATAAACTGTTCCTAATATTTTCAAATTATGGCGATAATAACACCATAAAATTAAATTCATTTAGAAGTTATGTTGATAAAAATTTTCAATTTAATCTGTCGGATATTATTTAAGGAAATTTGCAATGAACGCATCCGCTAGCGCTTTTTTTCAAAATAAAAATATTCCAAAAGTGTGATGAAAATGATAAAACTTGCATAAAAACTAAAAACCAAAAGGTTTTTGATGTGTTTCGTGTTTATGTCTGATGGATGATAAATATATACAGTATGTTGTCTGATGGATGATAAATATTTATAGTATGTTGCCTGATGGATGATAAAAATAAACAATATGTTGTTTGATGGATGATAAAAATATATAGTATGTTGTCTGATGGATGATAAAAATATACAGTATGTTGCTTGATGGATGATAAAAATATACAGTATGTTGTCTGATGGATTATAAAAATATACAGTATGTTGCCTGATGGATGATAAAAATATACAGTATGTTGTCTGATGGATGATAAAAATATACAGTATGTTGCCTGATGGATGATAAAAATATACAGTATGTTGTCTGATGGATTATAAAAATATACAGTATGTTGCCTGATGGATGATAAAAATAAACAGTATGTTGCCTGATGGATGATAAAAATAAGCATTATGTTGTTTGATGGATGATAAATATTTATAGTATGTTGCCTGATGGATGATAAAAATAAACAATATGTTGTTTGATGGATGATAAAAATATATAGTATGTTGCCTGATGGATGATAAAAATAAACAGTATGTTGTTTGATGGATGATAAAAATATACAGTATGTTGCCTGATGGATGATAAAAATAAACAGTATGTTGCCTGATGGATGATAAAAATAAACAATATGTTGTCTGATGGATTATAAAAATATACAGTATGTTGTCTGATGGATTATAAAAATATACAGTATGTTGTCTGATGGATGATAAAAATAAACATTATGTTGTTTGATGGATGATAAATATTTATAGTATGTTGCCTGATGGATGATAAAAATAAACAATATGTTGTTTGATGGATGATAAAAATATATAGTATGTTGTCTGATGGATGATAAAAAATATACAGTATGTTGCTTGATGGATGATAAAAATATACAGTATGTTGTCTGATGGATTATAAAAATATACAGTATGTTGCCTGATGGATGATAAAAATATACAGTATGTTGTCTGATGGATTATAAAAATATACAGTATGTTGCCTGATGGATGATTAAAATATACAGTATGTTGTCTGATGGATGATAAAAATATACAGTATGTTGTCTGATGGATGATAAAAATAAACAGTATGTTGTCTGATGGATGATAAAAATAAACAATATGTTGTCTGATGGATGATAAATATTTATAGTATGTTGCCTGATGGATGATAAAAATAAACAATATGTTGTCTGATGGATGATAAAAATAAACAGTATGTTGTCTGATGGATGATAAAAATATACAGTATGTTGCCTGATGGATGATAAAAATATACAGTATGTTGTCTGATGGATGATAAATCAATACAGTATGTTGCCTGATGGATGATGAATGATCAAAATATACAGTATGTTGTCTGATGGATGATAAATATATATAGTATGTTTTCTGATGGATGATAATGATATACATTATGTTGTCTGATGGATGATAAAAATATACAGTATGTTGTCTGATGGATGATAAATATAAACAATATGTTGTCTGATGGATGATAAAAATAAACAGTATGTTGTCTGATGGATGATAAAAATAAACAGTATGTTGTCTGATGGATGATAAATATTTATAGTATGTTGCCTGATGGATGATAAAAATAAACAGTATGTTGTCTGATGGATGATAAATCAATACAGTATGTTGCCTGATGGATGATGAATGATCAAAATATACAGTATGTTGTCTGATGGATGATAAATATAGTATGTTTTCTGATGGATGATAATAATATACATTATGTTGTCTGATGGATGATAAAAATATACAGTATATTGTCTGATGGATGATAAAAATATACAGTATGTTGTCTGATGGATGATAAAAATAAACAGTATGTTGTCTGATGGATGATAAATCAATACAGTATGTTGCCTGATGGATGATGAATGATCAAAATATACAGTATGTTGTCTGATGGATGATAAATATAGTATGTTTTCTGATGGATGATAATAATATACATTATGTTGTCTGATGAATGATCAAAATATACAGTATGTTGTCTGATGGATGATAAATATAGTATGTTTTCTGATGGATGATAATAATATACATTATGTTGTCTGATGGATGATAAAAATATACAGTATGTTGTCTGATGGATGATAAAAATAAACAGTATGTTGTCTGATGGATGATAAATATTTATAGTATGTTGCCTGATGGATGATAAAAATAAACAATATGTTGTCTGATGGATGATAAAAATATATAGTATGTTGTCTGATGGATGATAAAAATATACAGTATGTTGCCTGATGGATGATAAAAATATACAGTATGTTGTCTGATGGATGATAAATCAATACAGTATGTTGCCTGATGGATGATGAATGATCAAAATATACAGTATGTTGTCTGATGGATGATAAATATAGTATGTTTTCTGATGGATGATAATAATATACATTATGTTGTCTGATGGATGATAAAAATATACAGTATATTTTCTGATGGATGATAAAAATATACATTATGTTGTCTGATTGATGATGAAAATATACATTATGTTTTCTGATGGATGATAAAAATATTCAGTATGTTGTCTGATGGATGACATCTGAAATAAATTTAGCAAGAATTATGACAGATTATGTAGACTAGACAACCTTTCCATCAGACAACCTTTGCTATTTATTATTTTTGTGACGTTAATGTGCTCGCAAATGAAAATATTCTAAGGATCAGCATCCCGTTATTATGGCAGTTAATCTATATATCTTTCATTTAGTTGTTCCTGGCTATTTGCGGATGAATGTACCTGTACATATTGATAAAATCTAAGATAATACAAAGAAAAAATACGACAAAGTCCCATATTGCAACACTTTAGATACCATTAGTAGCCTTTGCTGTCTTAGTCTAAGTAACCATTGTTGTTATTAGAAAGATTCTTTAATCATCGTTACGAAAAGAACAGAGTTCATCGTGGAACCTGTCTCCATTGGTGACGTCTGATGTCTATTAGCCTTAATTTGAACATCATACCTCATTTTGAAAGAACCATTATGCTTAATATTAGTTTACCATTGAAGCACTAATTCAAAGAAAATTTGACAGAATTGATGAGGTTGATAATGATTCATCCTACATAAATACGTCCTTGAAGCCAAATAAACAATCAATAACCAGATTACTTTTTACATCTATCGTATGAGTAATTGTAATAAAAGTTCTTAGTATTAGTAGATTCCATACTCGGAAAATACCTTTTATCGTTAAACAAAATAACTCGCTGATGCGTTAGGTCACAGGGTTCATCTACATAGTGTCCAGGCGGCTCCAAATCAAGGAATCGGGTCTTTTAAGGCAGCCCAGAGCTCCACGTCTGAGAATAGGATGGGCCCACACTGTACGACGCTGGCAGTGGCTAGACTAATTGAGGTTCGTCTTCAGTGATGAAAGCCGGCTCTGTTTGTTCTAAGAAGCAAAGAGTTTATCGCCATGTTGCGTTCAAGAGGTGGTACGAAGGAGTGTCATGGTGTCGCGAGGGATCTGTTGGCAGGAGAGGACTCCACTTGATAACTTTAATGACAACATTGGCAGTCCAGCGTTACCTGGATGACATTCTTCGTCTGGCAGTGTTACCATTTCACCTACAATATAATGTCATTTATCTACAGGTAGAATCATAACCAACTTCTTTGGAGTCAACAATATCAACGTGCTACCGTTGCTTGCATGCTCCATAACATCTCTGGGGTAGCAAAGATCGTCGTGTTCGTCAGCGACAACACCTTCCAGTCAATCGACAAGAACTCATTCAGTTTGGAAAATTGGAAAATTCATAAAACAAAGGAATTGTTGAAAAACGCTTAATCTTGATATGAAGCGTTTTTCAATAGTTAATTGCATATTTATGGATAATTAATAAGTTTTTTGGATTTATCGGATTATAAAAGGATCCTGTTATGTTATTTATGACACCAGGTATACTTACTGGCTCTTATTCGCCAAGTTTAAAATTCTTAAATTTTATGTTAATTCTAAGACGTAGTATCACTTTAACTTAGAGTGTTTTTTTGTGAAAACATGTCTTGGAGATCACCTCGATGAATTAGTCTCATGGACATGTATCGGCCATTGCATAGCACTGAAACGACACTTTTGCGAGAGATAAATGATCTTCGGTGCTCATGGGTAATTTGTCTTTATTGGTCCTCCTGGACCTCTCTTCGGCATTCGATACTATTGACCATGAAAACCTTCTTTACACTCTTCAAAATCAGTTGGCACTACAAGGGTCGGTTTTCGGGGTTTTTTTTTTATCTCCCTACACCAGATAGATTCCAATCAGTCATCATGCAAGAAGTCTATAAATTATGTCAACAGGGATCAGCTCTGTTTGTATTATTAGCCAAATAAACAGCTGGATCAGCGGATAGATAAGCTTGAGATTGCCAGATATCGTATGCCGGTGATACACAACTTTACACTAGTTACCTTCATGAACCAATAGAATTTGCTAATATGCAGCTATGCTTTGAGGGCATCAAATCAAGGATGGCACATAATATGTTAAAATGTAATGATTCTAAAACAGATTGTTTGCTCATCCCGTGTTTAAACAAATAGAAGTAGGGCAAATAGGCGTAAACAAGAAAAAGGGCAATAACTCTTACTTAATATTTTTCGATTTTTCTGATTTTCAATAGGGTTCATCCTTCGACGATTACAAACACTCATGTCAAGTTTCGCCAAATCTGTCAAATTATTGTGCCTTCTAGAGTGTTTACGAGCTAAATAATGAACACATTTTCAAGAACAAGGGCAATTACTCATACTAATTATTTTTAGATTTTTCTAATATTTAATAGGGTTCATCCTTGGGCGATTACTAACACTCATACCAAACTCCATCTAAATCCGTCGAGAATTGTGTCTTGTAGAGTGTATACGGGCCAAAAATATTTTTACATTTTTCTGATTTTCAATAGGGTTCATTAGTATCGGATTACAAACGATCATACCAAGTTTCGTTAAAATCAGTCAAGAATTGTGCCTTCTAGAGTGTTTAGGAGAAAATGTGGACAGGCGGAAATGGGTAACGGCAATATACGCCCCCCCCCCCCCATCCCTTCATTTCACGTGGGCGCTTAAAAATCACCAAAGAACACTCTTATTACACCAATTCTGCAGAAGCTCCATTGATTATCAGTATCAAAGAGGATCGATTACAAAGTCACCTCAGAATACCTGACTGAAAATGCCAACACGGAACCTAATATCTAGCGGACAAATTTTTTACAAGTGTCAAATTATACCATGAAAATTGATGGTTCCCGCGCTTTTTTATTGACTGCTGCCAACGTTTGGAATAACTTTTCAGAAAGTTTAATATTATTTGACTCTCGTTAGTCTTTATACATTGTAAACTAAAGATTCTGAATACACTAGTTTCTGTAACGTCATGAGCAAACTTTTGTGTGGAGTTCTTTGCTTAATAAATATAAACATTATGACTATCATTTAACGAAATATTTTCAGGCCATTCAATAAATAAAACAATTAATAATAATAGTGGTCTAAAACTTACTGATTTTGTCTAACATGGCAGTTAACTTAGTGCGTTTCTGTTACTTCGTTGTAGAAACAACACGTAGTTGTGTATGCTAAAAGGGGCCGATTTCGCACATCTTCAAATATTCTATTGTATAATATAGATGTCGCCCCTGTTCGTCAATCCGTCAACCCATAATTAGCCAGTCTTCATCCCAATTTTTAAAATTTGATGCGGAGTTATTAAAAAATGTCATTTGGTGTGTTTTTGTTTGTCGAATTAAAAGTGAAAGCTTACGGATGCCAATGGAGTAAAAAAATAATTAATCATACGCGTTTTTTTTTTCTTTTTTTTTATTCATATTTTAGTACCTTGAGCTCGAGCATTTCAACATTTACTAAAGTCAGTCAGTAAGTTCAGTTTCTCCACAAATGTTCATTCACTGTTAATAACCTGTTATTTAACCTGATATTGTTACTCATGGCAACAGCCAAGACAAGACGCCCAGTAATGTTCACGCAAATGACGAAAATTGAAAGCTCTTCACTGATTCGATGGTTTTTGACTCCCAATGATTGATGACTTGCTTTAAAGGTCATATACGCCTGTAATAGTTTAAAGTGTCATTGGAATCAGTTTCTTCCGATAGTCTGCAATATCAGCTTATCTACCTACTTCGTATTTTTTAGGTCTGATAACAATGTCTCTTGGTGCATTTAAGGATACTTTAAGGTAAGATACAATGCGATTGTGACTTGATGTGTTAGCGGTGACAACTTTGACAATGCATTTATTTTGGGTTTTAAGGATTAAGTCTTACTATTGGTTCTATGTCCTGTTATATTATATTGATGCTTTATATTCCATCAGCATAAATAAAATTTCATAACTTTTCATTTTAGACTGACTACATCTTTTCCTTTTCACGGGAGGAATATATCGAACATATTTACTTACCTCCATCAACTATCAGCAAAAGATCGCTCACTCCTGCTTAAGCTCATAGGTATCAGCGATGATGATGAATTACTAGCGGCATTTTTCGGAAATGGAATGGATCAAGACGAAAAATTATCCAGCACCGAATATCGTATACATAAAATTCTTGCAATTTACGTACCTCCAATATTGCTTCTACTGGGAACGTTCGGAAATATATTTGCGTTTCTGGTTTTACGACATAAATCAATGGCAAGGTTGACAACATACCTTTTTCTTGCAGCATTGTCAATTTCTGATTGTTTTGTATTATTGTTTGGTTTATTGAGAATGTGGATTGGAGAAGTTTCTAAATTTGAACTTCGTGATCAATCAGATTGGCTGTGTAAAAGTATTATTTATGTTGGTTACATTACCAGTAATTATTCTGCATGGCTCTTAATCGCTGTGACGATCGAAAGGTATTTGGTAATAGTCCATCCTTTGAAAGCTTTAGGGTGGTGTAGTGTTGTAAGAGCCAAAAAGATAATTCTGGCCTTATTTTTGTTCTTTGTGGTGGTTAATTTGCATTTTTTCTGGACAGTTGGTTTGCATAGTCCAGCAGATGGAGAACCTTTAAAGTGTGACAGTTCTCCCGAACATCGTTATTTAATATACATTATTTGGCCATGGGTTGATGCCTTATTGTACAGCTTCTTGCCTTTTATACTCATTTTAGTGTTCAATATTTTGATCATATTTCGTGTGCTTCAATCGAACAGTGGAAAAGAAATGGAACAAACGTCGACATTGCGGAGATTTTCTGGTAAACGATGTAGCACATCTGGTTCCAACTACAGATTAACTATCATGCTGTTATCTGTTTCATTAACCTTCATTTTTACCACTCTACCAATGAATATTGGAATAATCTGTTCTTTTTTCTGGAATCAACAATTAGCTGATATTAATGCTATGTCGAAGTTTCGACTGTTCATGACCATAGCTGAGTTGTTGATGTATTTAAATCATAGTATTAACTTTTTTCTCTATTGTGCAACAGGACAAAAGTTTCGCAATAAAATAATGGATATGGTGTGTTTCAATTTGGTCACACACCGAATCCTAATCATAGTCAACATTTATATTGTTCGAGGGGTTGTTCGATCGCTAGTGGACACAATATCGTGAGAAAAAGTGTACTAGAAACTGAAGTTTAAAATTTCGAATGTAGATATATATTGGGTCAGTTATTTATAATTCAATGGTTAGATTTCTAATAAATATATATATTTTTATGTTATACGCTTTATTTTGTCAATTGGAAAACTCTTCCTAACTGGAATAGTATGCCGCGCTATTCTGCGCCAAAGTTACAGTTGTATAGAGGTTTTCTATTTTTCATTTGTTTAGAGGACACTGATATCATCGTTTTGCACCATTCTAATTTTCAGTGGCTCTAGCAATACCACTAAAAATACGCGTTTTATGACGTCACTATCGTAAAAAGGTGATAATATTATAAAAAGTCCCTCGCGATTGTGACGTAAATAACGCCCAGTTCAGTACAATCCTGTTAATAAACAGACTCGACACTTTGACAGATACATTATAAAATATTACTAACAAATTCCCGGGAAGTCACCATTATTAATGTCTGTATGATTTGTTTTGATCCAAGTGGTGGTGACTTCGTGGGGAAAAAACCCATCAATTAATCTTGAATGTTTGTGAATATTGAGCAATAACAGTACAGACTAGTAACTGTAGATTCAGGCCCGTAACCTGACCAGTACTCCTGGGGCAAACGTGCAATCTAGCAAAGCACCTTAACAGACGATTTAACGTCGGGAAACGGACTTTCATGGAGTATTTTAGATTCGAGATTATTTTTGTTAAAACACACAAGTTATAATACGTTACATTTTTATTGCCGTTTTAGTTTAAACGTAGTCGGGTATGTTTTATGGCAAAACGTTGAATAAATACGTCCAAGTTAATTTTCTGGGTACGCTTCCTGTTGAAGGCAAGTAGAAAAAGATTGCGCTGGCGAAGCTGAGTCATAGATCGTCGTTGTGGTGAGTCAACGCGAGTAAGAGTTGAAAAGCTGCTTTCACACACAGCGGTACTAGAACCGCATGTGGCAACGCTTGCAGCCAGTGCATATAATTTAGGGAAAGCCAATTTCTGCTCGTATAGTTTTTGAAGAACACGATTGGAGTCCTGATTTTCTGTCTTGGCAACGTTATCTTGGAGAAATTGTTTTGACACCTCAATTGTTATGCTTCTCGAGGCCCTTTCCAGTATCACCTACAGCATGCTTCCAATCTTTGTAGCCTTCAGTGATGAATTTCTATGCACCCGCAGATGTATTGTGAAACACCCGACATGGAAATCAAAAAGGGGCGTCCCTTGACACTGAATACTCCAGCCATGGGAATCGATCATACCAGCTGTTACAAAATGGCGACCAGACTTCGCTGGAAATTTTATTCTCGGTTGCTTTGGAACGTCTTCTTTTCCAATATCACCTGGTACTCCTGTCCTTTCAGAGCATCTTGGTTCTACATCCGTTGTGTTGCCCGCAGTGGTTTTGATACCATTGTCAGTCGAAGTGGTGTCGGAACCATCAAGCAATTTGTCTTTTTTGATCAAATATTTATCCATTTTTCCTACGTTTGGTTGTTTGATTCATATGAATACAATTTAGGATAATATATGTCTATTAGTATTTATAATCAACCAATCAAATCTTTTGAATTTTGAGTCGGGACAGATTACAATCCAGTATCAGACCAATAATTTTGTTACCAATGAAGCTTTACTGCAGACTTTTTATGATTTTCAACGAATTCAATTGTATCAAATTATCTATTCTAATGTAATTAAATTTAAAAATGTTATGAAAAGCTATGATGTCTGGTTTCATCCTCAGCTAAGTATAAACAGAAAGATATTTAAAAACAGTTCTTAAGTAGGTCTACAGAATACTTAGTGGTTTGTTGAACCATTCCGCATAACGCAGCCCTGAAAGCCATAAACTTATTTTTCGTTACGTATAATCAAAATATCGAAATACTCATCATATGATCGACAATGCAAGAGCAGCTGACTGGTGCACTTACTCTTACAAGCCCCCCCCCCCCCCCTCTTTAGAATAATACACCTTTTCTTTTTCCTGAGTCAATAGGAGCGGCTACGAGCTACGGGCCTGTGTAGATTGTTACTGACAATACTTGTATATCGGGTAGTGCCAATTTATTTGTTATCTTAACTTTTTATAACAATATCCAAAATTTAATAAGATAGATCACGTTTCATTAGAATAAAACGAGCTAGGCAAGGAAAGTCCACAAATTCAAGGATAATTAAGAATATTATATTACATATAACATACGAATCATAATGGCGAAGACTGTAATCATAAGCAGCATACTGGTTTCAGTTATACTCCCACATAAAAAAAATGAAAAGGGGACAAACAATGAGGTAAATGAAACAGTCCAATTCTTAATTAAAAAAAGTTTGGACAATATTTCGATGAATTCTAGTAATTTTATTGGTCTTAATTTAGTCAAATCCTGCTTAAAATTACAAGGAATTTGTCCGCAGTAACAGCTCATATTAAGTAAAATATTGGAGGTTGAGAGGTCGGTGGAGGGAATGAAGCAAATATTTAGCAATGATAGAATGACAAGTGGGTTAGGTTCTAAGGATTATGTTCAATAAAAGATAAAAATTACAATTATTACCCTTCTGGAGTATATTTTTACCTGAAATTACCTCATGTCCACGAGATGCGTAGGCGGAGACAAACTTGCTATAAAGGAAGACAACATGGCGGATTAATCAGACAGTGACATTAAATTCAAAGCACTTTTTATCTACAATAGACTGGGTAAACCTGAAAAAAAAGGCACTGGCTCTTCGTTTTGGGAATATCACCACTTGGTGAGGCAACTATTCTCAAATTGGGATTAGTTTTTCATACATTTGCTCACGTGACATGTTTATTGCGATTTCATAGACCAACAGCGTATTACGTGGCATGAAAACGCGTATGTGGACACAGGCCTTGGTACTGTGACATTGAAACACACCACAAACGGGTGTAGACACCAATTTTCACTTATAATTGATATAATGTACTTCTTCATTTGAACGGTTGATTAGCTGCGACCAATGTTTTGTCTGTGTTGTTTTGGATTTCGGGTTTCGTTTCGCAGTTCGGATCGTTTGTACTTTGTTTATTAATTTATTGTTCAAGAAAATCTATCCATTTGGTCACCAAAAAGGTGTTAACGTTGGAAATAGGCCAGTATGTAGTTGAGCTGCATAGATTCTCAAGATTTTCGTAGTCTACTCTTCGAGCGTTGTTAATGTGGTATAAGGACAGTACCTTTTTAAAACATATGTAATACCAACGATTTAAACAAGCCGATTCATTAGCCATCATTGAACCCTGGCGCAAAGTTGTTCATTTGGTTAATTTTGAGAATGATTTTCTCGAACTCTACTATTTTGAGGACTCATCTTGTGATATATTGGTGGAAGCAACTATTGATAATGAAAAATACCAGTTTGTGTCACATGTCCATAATTAATTCGTAATTAGCTAAATTAGATGAGAATTACAAGCAGAATTCCAATGAGTGACCGATCAATAAAGGTCAAAATATCTTTTTTTGTTTATCCAGACTGTACATACATGGACATTTATGATTGGTTAAAACTCTTAATTATATGCAATAAGAACATAAAGATATGATTAAAAATACATGATAATTCATTAAAAACACCAATTTGTCAAATAGTTTGCTTAATTTGACTCTAAAAAATAAGGAAACCCATCTTTAAGTCGAGGATTTATTATCAGGAAGAACCGCATGTTCACTTTACCATGGAAGTGCCATTTGATAGTGTTCATCAACCAGCTTTACACTGTTCTGTATAATGTCTAAAGCACGTTTATCCTCAAAGGACATTCCAACCTTTTTGTAAACTTCTAAATCATCGAAGTCTGTTTTCCAAACGGTCTAATTGTCCATTTAGATCAAAGTCCGAATTGTCTACATGAGTATCAAATTTGACAAAAGTAACTGAATCACTCGTTTTACATCCACCAACGGGTCCTAAAGTAGTCCATCCCAGGTTATATCTCACAGCAATGGGTTCGTGTTGCTCACCATATCTAGTTTCTAAAGGTATAAAGATATAAGATATTTCAAGTTCATCCAGATCTTCTAATCTTGTCGATGTCTTTAAGATGGGAATAGTTTTTAATATCAGACTCAACTATTGGATATAGGTGAATCTTCTACTGTTGTCACATTCTTCAAATTATATGAAACATTTCCATCCAATGACATTACAGTTATATCCACATTTTGACTAATTACTTCCTCGGGACCGTGATAACACAAAAGTGAGAAAAATTGCGTATTCATAGATAAATATTGTTCAATCAGAAGTGGCCAACTGTATTGGTAGCAAATTTCAACCAATCAAAACAAATC